AATTTTTGGAGCACGGTCATTTTTTCTGATGAGAAAGTTTTTCAATCATGCCACAATGGAAAACTAAAGGTTTACAGGCCTCGAAACATGCGATATAATGATAAATATGTTCAATCATATCACCAAAGATTTTCGGTGAATATGTGGGCCTGGATTTCTGCTGTTAGTCGGGGGGTCAGGTTACACGTAGAGGAAGGACTCAATGGTGTTGTATATACCAGAATTCTTGAGAACGTAATGCTGCCGTCTGTGAGAAGAGCATATCCCCATGAAAATTTCATATTTTAGCAAGATAATTGCTCCGTTCACACCGCTCGTAGAGTTAGAGAATGGTTTGTTGAGAACAACATAAATGTCTTAAATTGGCCTAGCCGCAGCCCGGACTTGAATCCTATTGAGAACATGTGGGGTTTATTAATAACAAAAATAAAAAAAAAGATTAATATTTGAAAACAGGGGGCAACTTTTGGATGCAATAAATGAAGCATGGCACTCCTACCGGAAGAGTACTTCAGAAATTTATGTGTATCTATGCCAAAAAGATTGGCTGAAGTTATAAATGCTAATGGGGCACTGACAAAGTATTAATTATATTTTTCTTTTCAATTACATACCTACATACATATATTTAAATGTTCAAACTACATACAGTAAATTATTTTCCATTTTTTATATTTTAATGTGTTCTTGTGACGAGCACCCACGTTGTGGGTATCTCGTTACATTTTGTCTTATGTGATCTCATAACTCAAGAGCTTATCACTATTAGGAGATTATTAGTATTATTAACTTATTCATTTTGGATCGCATTTTTAACCTGAAAATGATTTGGTACGACAATACCTCAAACAATGTAAGACAAAGGTAAAAAGTAACAAGGAGCATCGAACATTCTGTCAACATGACAAACGTTAATCAAAATTCTGAAACAAGGTTAGAAAAACCTAAAGACTCATTTACACTTTTAATCTGTCATAGGAATTGGGTGGACGAAATTCACTGTCTATCACTGTACCTGTGTATGTTTCTTAAAATCGCCGTAAGAGTGCGCTGACATACGGAATTTTTCTAAAAACAGACATTTGACACATGCGACAGGCCGTAGTCTATTATCAATCTACGAGGCCGTGATAGCGGGTAATATAAATGAGAAAACTGGCGTACTTTATAAAATTATTTACAATAATTTACAAAGGCTTTAAAGAGAGTAACCTCTTGCAAATTGAGGACTAACACTATTTTTGATGCTTCCATAATTTGCATCTTGGCACGAGAACTGATATGGTCTCACTGCAGTGAGCCGTGTAAGTTATTAGCACGGGTATCCTTCTTTTCTAATTTGCTCTTGGCTATTACACAGGTCAACAAGAGTTAGGTAACATTGATGACAATTTGGTCAATAGTAGTTTTTTACTTCCTAAATAACAAAATGCATTTAGTTTTTTGATAACACGTACCGTTGATTTGTTGCATTTTTTACCAATAATATAATTAATGCATTTTCTGCACTCCCACTTGGATTTTGTTCCAATAAATCTGGGGGCTGTCAGTGACGAAGAAGAAGAGAGTTTCCACCAAGACATCAGAAAGATGGAAGAACACTATCAAGACCGTTGGGACCGTTCCATGATGAGCAATTATACTGTTGGCTTTTAAAATGCGACAGTAACGTCCCTAACAGAAGAAAATGTTGAGATTTCACTCTTGTAATATATGTAATATATGACTTTTTTGATGTTTCTAAAGTTAGTTTATTAAAATATTGTATGCTCATAATAAAATAAATTAAATAGTTGAATTATTTGCAGTACTCTTTTGCTTTAACATGGGTTTCAGAACGAAATTGGTAACATACGAATGATACGTGATGAGACATTTTTGTGAAAATTTTCGAAATCAGAGTGAAAAATCATAAACGTGGAAGGTAGTTTAATCAATGTTACCGAAAATTTGTTCAAATTTGTTGACCAGTGTTGTCATGAGTGATGCAAATTGTTCTACATGTTTGCGCAATTTAAAGAATAACGGTGGATACATCAACTGTTTATTGTGCAAAAAAATCTTCCATTCTAGCTGTGCTGGTATAACTAAATTCGATCTTTAAAGGCTAAACGAAAATGTCTTGAACTGGTTATGCAAACTCTGCTCTTCTGAATCTGTTTCTCGTTCTCTTCCTGATGCTTCCAACTACTTTACACGAAGGATCAAGATTGCGTTGACTTCTCTTTTTTGTACAAAAATATTCTTTAAAACAAAAGAATCTTTTTCATTCTAACAACCTAATGTCACCGCGAAGCTTTTAGGTCCGATTGTGCAGTTTCGATGTTGTCGGTGATAAATTGTGTGTTGATTTGTTAGGGAGACGAACTGAAAAGTTCGGTTTTCATTTTGTGTGAACTGAAACAACGGTTTGGTTTCAGCGAGACATGGTAACGGGTTGAGCTCAGGGTGGGTATTCGGGATGAATTGGCCTGTGATTGGTTCGATTTTCCAAAACGCTGATTAGCTTTAGAACGGCATCGGCTCCAAGTCCTAACTCCGACTTCTCAATTTGTGCTCTACCATATGGGGTAAACTGATACAGATATCCGTTGGACGAACAGAGGCACCAAAGCTTATAGCCAAACCGCACCGGTTTGTCTTTTATAAACATTTTAGCTGAGTGTCTGCCGAAGTATGGCTAAACAGTGTGAAAATATACCGAACTGCAAAAATTTTCTATTTATTATATCAAAAAATGGTCGTAACTTTGCAAGTTTGTCTTGTCATCGGCAGTAATAAATTAGGCTTTTTAAAATAGACCGTCTGATTTGGTCCAACCCAGCAGCGCTTCCGGGTTTTGACGACTTTATGTGATCCGGGACTGGGTGCAGCTGTACCACCGGCTTTGTTCTTCATAATTCTGTGTAGGTACAATCCCCGTACGGCATCGTTTTCCGGTCTTTGATTGGTATTGTTATCAAAATTTAGACCGTTTAGACCCCTTCCGGGCTAGCGTAGCCAGTTGGTTTGGATTTTTATTGTCCACTGTAAGAAATTTTGTGTTACATTTCTAACTCAATTTCGGTGTTCAGGCAAGTCCACTGTATTTTGTGTTAATATTTTACACATATTTTTTGAGTATATGATTGTATTTCTGAGTGAAAACTGTGTGAGTCAGATACATACATTGAGTGAGTACTACTCCAACTTTGTTATATAACTTAATCAAATTTGAGTGAAAATTGACTAAATTTTGAGTGGGTTTCTTATATTTTGTTACTTAAAGTTATGTTAAAATTTAATATATTTATTTTGGTACAGGCTGGTTTTAAAATCATAGGCAAATGTAACTAGAAAACTGTATTATGAAAAATTATTTAAAGGAACATTTTTAACAGTTTAACAAAACTCATATTTTGGTGTAAGTAACTAAATTAACATTATTGCTGTAACTTTGATGAAACTTATGCGGTTCCTTGTAAAATAACGTATTTGGATCTTTATGTGTTTCCATGTAATGAGAAATATGTTTACCCAAATGTTTCCGAAAACCACTAATAGTTTTTAAATTGTAATATACATTTTTCAACAGGGCAGTGAAGATGTAACGACGGACAATCAACAAGACCGTGAAATGTTCTTAAATGTTTCATTAAAGCAATACTGTCCAATTTCGTTATGACATAAAGCACACAAAATTGCCATTATTAAGGAAATGTGTAGAATAAAATTATTGATTATATTATAAATATATTGTATTATAAAAAAATCCATACTTCTTTTTCTATGCCAATTTCGAACGAAGTTTACTTATTTTAGGTGTCCAGATAACTCTTTCCATACCATTGTCATCAGATTCTTTATTTTCCGGTAGAATGATATTGTTGGGTTTTGATAATGTTTGCTTGTAAACATTAAAAATTCTTTCTTTTATAACAGGGAAACATTCAGCCAATGTTGGCGCATTAGGATAAAGTAATGCAAACTCTTGTTCAATCTAAAACAAATGTTTTATGTAACAACAAATATCTATTATAACAGGGTGTTTGCAGATTACGAGCCACTAATAGAACTCGTCAATAGAAACAACTTCTGTATTTTTAACTTTTGCGGAAAACATGTCACTTCTGAGTTAAAATTAAAAATAAGTTCTATATGATATGCACATACAGAGTGCGCCAGAATTCGCGCTCCAAAGAAAAATGCTAAGTAGGGTTAGGTACCAGGAACATGGAAAAAATTAAAAAAAAAATCTATCTATAAAAATTTCGAAGTTATGAGAGTTTAAATTTTGCACATTAACTCTATTTATTTCTGTAGGATAAATAATTGTCCACGTTTTTTGCTACAGGCTATTAGAAGCGGAAACAAGGAAGCTGGTTAAACTGTAACTCGGTTTAATGTTCTTTGTGGCTTTTATTGGCAAAAGTTTTGAGCCTTTACTAAATAGTTGTAAAAGAACATATACAAAATCATCAGTATCATTAAATAGATATAAAAAATGTCAAATGTCAAAAAATATATGTCAAAATTTTTGACAGATAGAATTTTTTAAACATTTTTTCCATGTTCCTGGAATCTTACTTGTGTAATAAGGGGCTTTGTAAACTGTTTATTTAGGCTCACTATTACAACTTATTTAATATTAAATTACACTAAGTTCGATTCAAATCAGCGCGATTATAGAACGCGGTAACCGAAAGTAAATATTCGCGGACTTCTGACCAATTTGGGACCCCACGGATGCCCTGGTGATTCAGAAGATAGCCTACGAGACCAGTTGGGACCCCAAGGATGCCCGATTGATGCAAGTAAGCAACTGCCTCTTGAGCGTGGCTGGTTGTCATTTTATTAAGGGTTGCTCGGTACTATTTGGGGTAGAGGGTGACTTCGGTACGCTTCGGACGGAGTTGGACGATTGCAGCGCTATTCTGGTGGGCGCTTGGCGAAGTATAATGTTACCGGTTACAACTCTCCCCCTCAGAACCTGTAGGACGTCTCGGACTTAGGTTCTGGATCTAATTTTTCTTTCGGGGTCTTCCTCGACGTCTAATGGGTTGTATAGGCGTGACCTCCTGATCGTTGGTAGTGATAAAATGTTTTAGGGCCGATGTATGATATGTTCCCAGAGGAACCGTGGGATTTGATTTGGCAGCTATTTCGTAACTACAGGGTTCCTTGGCATTGAGGATCACATAGGGACCATCACGTTTTGGAGCAAATTTAGAGGTATGACCAAGGGAGGCTTTGCTAAGTGAGTGGGTATTCACTAGAACTTCGTCTCCGGGTTTGAATATGGGAGCGGGGCGACGTTTTTGGTCTGCATATTTTTTCCGGGTATCTTGCTGTGTTTCCTGGGTGTCTTTGACTTCCCTCAACGTATTTGCTAGGGAAACCAACCGAGGAGTGATCTCTGAAACAAAATTATCATTTTGAGCGATCTCACGGAGATCGTGTTTGATGTCTTCGGGGGTTCTCAGTTCTCGAGTGAACATAAGGTATGCTGCGGTATATCCGGTTGTTTGACATCGGGTTGAATTCATTGCAAACCGAATAGCCGGTAGTTTATTTGGCCAGTTTGTATGTTCATGGTCGAGCAGTATTGAAAGTTGTGTCTTCATATCACGGTTTTTTCGTTCAACCATGTTTGCCGAAGGGTGATATACCGGGGTGAACGCCTGGTCGATGTCTAGACAGTAGCACAATTGTTGCAACAGGGAGCTTATAAACTGGATTCCGTTGTCACTAATTATTCTTCTAGGTATACCATACCGAAGGCATATTTCATTTAGAAGAGTTGTAGCACATGCATCGGCAGTGGCAGTGACAAGTGGGAAAAGTTCAATCCATCGTGAGGCACAGTCCTCTATAATAAAGACCCATGTTTCTTGCTGTGGTCCTCGGGGAAGTGGTCCGAAAAGGTCGACAGATATTACTTCAAAGCGCTGTTGTAATACTGGGGTCTGGAGGGAAGTTGGAGGCTTTGTATTTTTGGCAGGCTGGACAAGCTTTGACATAATTCTTGATATATGTGTACATTCCAGGCCAGAAGAACTTTTTCCTAATTTTGTAGGCGGTGTGTTCGGCTCCATAGTGACCGGCAGAGGCGGCGTCGTGATATTCCTTCATGATTAGGGGCCGTAGTTGTTCCGGTACTACTAATTGAGCTTCTTCTACATCATCTTCGGGCGAATATCTATATAACACTCCTTGGGATAATAAATATCCACGGCCTGTCCATTGAGTAGTTTCCTCGGGTTTTCCGTTTGCGAACGTGTCGATGATTTTCTTAACTTCGGGATCAGTTAGTTGCTCCTTTCGTAAGTCGGAAGCACTTTTTCGCGGTACGTCCACCGTTACTAAACACATGGGACAATTCGTCCGGTCTCCACTCACCGGAGGACGTGAAAGGGTATCTGCTACTACGTTTGCTTTTCCGGGTGTGTATTCGATGGTGAGGTTATAAGCTTGGAGCTGAAGAGCCCAACGGGCAACTCTGCCAGTGGGTGTTTTTATGGACATCAACCACTTCAATGGTTGGTGGTCGGTGATAACAATTGTCTCGGCTTCTTCAATATACCCTCGAAATTTCTGAACTGCCCATACTAAAGCGAGCGCTTCACGTTCTGTTGTAGAGTAATTTTGTTCAGGTGACGTGAGTAATCGGCTGGCGATCTCGATGGGACGTTCCTTGGGTCCCTCTCCCTGAAGGAGAGCCGCTCCAATGGCGTATGAGCTGGCGTCTGTGCGTAGACGGTAAGGTTTTTCGGGCTCGGCTTGTTTTAGAATTGGGGCTGAGGTTAAGAGGTTTTTCAGCGTTGTGAATGCTTCTGTCTGTGCTGGGCCCCATTCCCATGGAGTATTTTTCCGAGTGAGTAACGTGAGTGGACGAGCAATTTCGGAAAATTTCGGAATAAATCTTCTATACCAATTACATGTTTGGAGGAAAGTTAACAAATGTTTCAATGTGTCTGGTTTGGGCATGTTTAAGATAGCCGAAACTTTTCCAGGGTCTGTTTGAATACCTTTACGCGTAATAAGGTGGCCCAGATATTTGACTTCGGTGCACGCGAAGTGGCATTTTTCGCGGTTCATCCGAAGTTGAAATTGTGCCATTCTTTGAAAACATGCTTGTAAATCCTGCAGGTGCTTCTCATATGACGGAGAAAGCAAAATTATATCATCCAAGTAGGCCAGAATCTGTATTCCTTCTAATCCCATCTTAAATCTGTCGATGAGCCTTTGAAAGGTCGCGGGAGCATTTCGCAGACCGAATGGTAGTCGACGGAATCGATAAATTCCAAATGGCGTTATAAAGGCTGTTTTGTCTTTGTCGTTTGGGTTCACTTCCACTTGATAGTAACCAGTTTTTAGGTCCATAGTGGATATGTATATCGACTTTCCTGTGGAGTGAAGGAGGTCTTCTAATCTCGGTAGAGGATACATATCAGGCTTGGTAACGGCGTTTAATTTCCTGTAGTCCACACATAGTCTAGTATTTCCGTCCGGTTTTGGCACTAACACTACCGGGGCTGCCCATGCGCTCTCGCATTCTTCTATAATTTCGGCGTCTAAAAGAGCACTGATTTCCTCCTTAAGAATTTTTATCTTGGTTGGAGTAGCTCGGTATGGAGCGCTGGCAATAGGGGGATTGTTTCCGGTGTCAATATGATGTTTCGCGTAAGGGGTAGGTGGACCTTGTGCTTCGAAAAGTGCCGCATGTTGGCTTAACAGATCATTAATTCCTGATATTTGGCTTGGCTGGAGGTGATGGCCTTCATCCGGGAACCTCAAATGTATTGCGTCAAATGCGGCCATATCATATGTAGGGAATAAATTGGCATCTTCGTCAGTTAGTTGTGTTTCCCATTCGAATTCCACTGCTTGAAATGCATCATACATTTGATAACAGCTTCGCGAGTAAAGTTCTATATTGTCTGGCACGTAGTGGTTGAATAGGCGAGCTGTGTGGTGGGTTGGTGAGGCTGGGATGAGTCTGTTATTTCCTTTAGGGCTAGGCGGAGCCTGAAGTCTTGAGATCTGGGGCGTCTTTTTCCGTGGAGGGCTATTCATGGGCGATAACAGAGTGGAACTTTTCTGTTGTTCAAATATTACGTCGAGAGATGGTTCTCGGATTGCGGGTTGCTTCTCAGTTATTGTATCTTTTGATACGAATCCATATGATTCGTGGCGGCGTCCAGTGTAGAACCAACGCTCGTTTTTGAAATCAACTGTTATTCCAGCCTTTTTCGCAAAATCTATACCTAGCAGGGTTTTTACTTTCGGAGCTGTCGGAATGTAGAAGACGTTTGTAGTTATCGTCTTATTTTTTAATGTAATTGGGACGTCGGCAGCGAGTACAGTTGTTCTCCGGGCATTTCCATCGGCTTGTGTAAAAAGTATTTCAGTGTTTTGAAAGATCGTACCCTGTTGTTTGAGGATATTGAACAATTCGGGACTTGCAAGGCTTGTACGTGCTCCAGTATCCAAATATGCGGTACCTGCTGCGCCATTTATGCTAATATTTAAGGCTGGTCGGGTACCTTCATTAGCATTAWACARKCAAAATCCGGTGTCTGGCGCTGGTTTTTGGTTGCAGTTTTCACAATTTCGGCGAATTACCCCTGGTTTGCCGCATCCATAGCATTGTACTGTATTTGCTGTTTGTGCGCTGTTACCAGGTTTTAGTTTCTCTTGTTTTTCTTTTTTACGACATACGGCGATGCTGTGTCCAAAAGCGCGACAGAATTCGCATCTGCCTGCTGTCTTCCGATTTTCTTTCCCCTTTTGTGCGGTGGAAAGTYGGCTCTTGTTGTCATCACTTCGTTCTCTAATAGATTCTTCTATTTCTCGACTTATTTGTAATAATTGTGAGAAGCTGGTAATCGAACTTCTCGTTGTTCGGTCACGTATCTCGTGTCGTAGAAGACCGTAAATGAAGTCGATTTGGCGGGCCTCTGAGTCGGGCGGGTGGATTTGAGCTAGTAAGGCTCTTTTCTCGGACACAAATAGACCAGTTGGTGTGTCCACGTCCTGTGGTTCGGAAAATATTTTCTGATAAATTTTGTAGGCCGGCGGTCTAGGAGCGAATTCGTTCCTTATAAGATCTTTGGCTTCTTCCCACGTGTTGACGGTATTCTTCACTCCTGTCCACCAGGTGTGGGCTGGTCCCTCCARAAGAAGTGGTAAACCCCTCAGCKCATTTTCGTCTTTGATGTCCTCGGTTTCTTTGTAAAAGTCAGTACTGGCAATAAAGTCGTTAACTGCTTCAGCTGATCTGGTCCCATTGAAACGGGCAGGGCAATGTGTGAAATGCTTCGTTTGAGGCGGAATTTGTACGTTCCGGATTAGTTCTTGGAGTGCCTCGGTTGTGATAGCCATGTTGAGTGTTTGGGCTCTGGTTAGCGGAATTTTGCACTTGGTTATAGCACAAATTAACACACGCGTTTTTTATTCGAGCTCTACGTTGGGCGCCACTTTGTAATAAGGGGCTTTGTAAACTGTTTATTTAGGCTCACTATTACAACTTATTTAATATTAAATTACACTAAGTTCGATTCAAATCAGCGCGATTATAGAACCCGGTAACCGAAAGTAAATATTCGCGGACTTCTGACCAATTTGGGACCCCACGGATGCCCTGGTGATTCAGAAGATAGCCTACGAGACCAGTTGGGACCCCAAGGATGCCCGATTGATGCAAGTAAGCAACTGCTTCTTGAGCGTGGGTGGTTGTCAATTTATTAAGGGTTGCTCGGTACTATTCGGGGTAGAGGGTGACTTCGGTACGCTTCGGACGGAGTTGGACGATTGCAGCGCTATTCTGGTGGGCGCTTGGCGAAGTATAATGTTACCGGTTACACGTGAAATTTTTCTTCTACTTCATTAAACATAAATATCTCAATTCCATTAGAATTAAAAAGAATTTATTTGGTAATACTTACAGGGGTGTTCAAAAAATCGCGCATTTCCTTGAAAGGGAGTAATTGGGTAGTCCCCAGAGTACTGAAAAAATGTTTAAAAAATTCTATCTGTCAAAAAATTTTGACCTCTATTTTTTGACATTTGACATTTGTTATGTCTATTTAATAATACTGATGATTTTGTATATGTTCTTTTACAATTATTTAGTAAAAGCTCAAAACTTTTACCAATAAAAGCCACAAATAACATCAAACCGAGTTACAGTTTAGGATACAGCTTCCTTGTTTCCGCTTCTAATAGCCTGTAGCAAAAAAAACGTGGAAAATTATTTTTCCAACAGAAATAAATATGAGTCAAAGTGCAAAATTTAAACTCTTATAACTTTGAAATTTTTATAGATAGATTTTTTTAAAATTTCTTCTATGTTCCTGGTACCTTACCTTACCCTTGTTTTTGGGGCGCGAGTTCTGACGCACTCTGTATGTGCATATGATGTAGAACGTTGCTCCTTCAACTTTTAGAATCGCGATATCTCAGGAATGGTGATTCGTAGAAAAAAAGTATAAAGAGCATTTTTGTAGATAATTTTGTGATCTATAATTTTTGTCTGGGCTACTTTTTTGATAAAACTTACTGTTTTCGAAATTTTTTTTAAAAACCTCACATTTTGACCTTTGACCTCAAATATTTTTTTTAGCACACATGGGATCGATGGGGACTT